ACAATAAAAAAATATTTAATTATCAACTTGTTTATTAAATCGTTACACGACACGACCCCGGGTCTGAACCCCGGTTCTGGACCCCGAGTCTGAATCCCGGTTCTGGACCCCGGGTCTGAACCCCGGGTCGGCCTGAGCACATAAAAGGGTCGTAAATTTTATGACCAAGCAAATTAACAACACTAGACTCTAGTCATTTTTATTTAGACTTTTAAATTTATATTAAATTTTTTATTCATGTAAAATAAATTAAATAATTTATAATTCTTATCAAATTGGAGTTTACTTTAATTAAAATTCATAGGCCCTTAAAGGTGCCGCTGGGTATTCATTGGTCTTAAAAAAGACCGTCGAATATTTATGTTTTAAAAAAGACGTTCGTCATATATGTTAAATAAAGATATGAAAATAAATAATAATAAAATGTTTAAACCAATTAGTGCAATATTCCACAAGCTTATTAATTGTGATTTTATAAAAAGAATTGAGAAAACTCATTATAAAGTTTCATAAAAAGATAAGAAGTTTCTTTTTTGTAATTATTAATCTTAAAAATGTGAATTATTATTTGTAAAAGCCAGGAGGATCGATAACTGTTAAAAATATATATTTGGATCTTTTGGCTTGATTAGGTTTTATTGATCCTAAAGGTTTCACTAAGCTAGACATGTGCGCCGCCGGTCAAATGCGCCGCGGCCGATGATTTTGACCACGCCGACGCCGCGCGCCAAAAAAGTGTCGGCGCTCGTTCATCTGCTCCGCCCCATCTGACCGCCATGATTGCGGTACTCGGTACTCTCATCATAATTTGCTCCACTGTTCCCAATTCGGTCTCCTCCCTATGTCGCTCCATAGGGCATGAACATCGAATGTGACCCCGTTCTCCGCATCCGTAACACTGGCGATCATCGCTTCTATATTCCGATTGACAACCCCTAAATCTAATATTTCAACCCTTTCCTCCAATGTTGCTACTATTTCCACTCTTCCCATTGCTGCCAACAGGGTCTCATCGAACTGTCTTATTCTTAACCCCTCATTCTCTATCATTTCACCGGGCCAAATACTCTGATATCCATTATATCCAATTACCGAAATGGCTGCTCCCGTATCAAATAACATGGGAACCATTCTCCCTAAATTTATCATCACTCTCGGACAAGGATCTTGTACTAGCCCTCTTGTAGCATATTGACACCTCCCTCTTTATTTGTTTTTCTCTGATAACGCTCCTCCTTTGTCCCTTTCAACCGCCGCACCCCGACCCATCTTGCAAATTTTTCGCCATCATATAGTCACAAATTCTCACAGTCCTCGCTACATGCTCATCCTTTCGGCATTGAAACATTCTATATTTTTCTCCTCCGTTTCTTTAACATTTACTGCACGAACTCCTTCCATTTTCTCCCGCTCAATTGTCCTCACATTTGAAGCATTCGGATCCATCCCACTCTGTGGAAAACTGCTTCTGTTGTTGTAATTGTTCATATTACACTCCACCTTATTATGTCTAAATTGACCAAAACCCGCACGTCTCAATCTCTCTTGCTTACCTATACAATAAGGGGCAATATGTCCAAGCTTACCACAACTAAGAATTTTGTCTCACGGCAATCCCTGAGCATATGAGCTGGTTTACCACAATTATAACAACTCATTACTCCAGGCTCAAAACTTTGTCTTATCTCCAATCTCATTCTTCTAGAATTTTCCCTTGGCTCTCTCTACGGTCTCAAAACTTAACTATTATCGAAATTTTGTTTATCAGAACATATATCACTATCTGTCCACCCTTTGATTAACTCTTGAACCGGTAACCAGGTTACTTTACCCATCATATCCTCTTCTCCATTATGCCCCTCAATGGTCAAATTCTGTCCTTTTATTTTAACGCTGCGACTCCTCCTCATTCTCCTGCTTCAAACTAAACATATCCATATTAATAGTATAACTAGCGCTCCAAAAATATTATACTGTATTTTCCAGTATTTAACAAATTTTAAACTTTTCATCCCGGCGTTATAAAAAATTTATGATTAATTTCAAAATAAAAATCTTGATTATTTGTAATGTCAACAAGTAAGATATTATAAGTAGCATAAACAAGTCAATTATGCGCATATACATGCACACTTTGAGGGTTAATATCTGACAAAATTCGTGTAAATTTCTTGTAACAGTTTTATATCTAACAAAATTTGGGCAGCACTTCCGTGTAATGAGAAAAAATAACACAAATTCGGATAATAATTTTTTTAATTAGATAAAATTTGGGCAGCACTTACGTGTAATGAGTTATTTGGGTGAATTTCGTCTAATAGGTTCATCTATGCGCAGCACTTTCGTGCAACAGGTCGTTAATAAAAATTTGGATAGCAATCTCGTGTTATCGCTTCTTTTATTAAAACTTTCGATCCCCGGGTAACCCAATTTCTCAACCTAACTAAATTTTCAAAAACAATGTCCGCACACACGGGTAAACTAATTTCCTATAAACGTCCGCACACACGGGTAAACTAACGAAAACTTCGTCTTGGTCACCAACTGATAAATTTTACGCTACAAAGGAAGTGTTGGATCGGTAGTTTTAATAAGATCGGTTCCTAGTTTTTATTTTCCTCTTTTTACAAACCTTGGTTCAGAGTTTTTTTGTTTTTCTCTTTTTACAAATCCTTTCTTTTTACCTTTTTTAAAGTTTCTTTTATAATAAAGTAGACGTAGAGAGGATAGATTACCCGCCCGTTATTTTTGAGAAAATATATACGCCCCCTTATAGTTTAGATAAAAATACATTCTCTCCTGAAAAATGAGTTAATAATTATTAGAAATAGAAGTTTTAATAAAAGATTTTGAAAAAAAAGTGGGGATTCAAGATCTCAAATTTTCATGTAAGGATTCCGAATCCACATGATTCCATATCCCAATACGACATATACAAGTATATTGATATATTTGAATCTAAACTTAAAAGAATAAAATTATAAAAATAATATATGGTGAAATAAATTTTTTTTAAAACATCCATCAAATCTTCAAATTAAAAATATTGGGCAGGAAATTAACTTCGCAAATATATTTTTCCTACGTAACTTTTCATCGACTTAAAAACGCGTATAAATAAAAAAAAATATAGCCTATATTTCTTGCTATACAGGCCATTTGGGGTAAGCCTATCATCTCCACCAAAAAAAGCCTATTCGCACCCAACCCAATTTTTAAAATTTCATTATTTTGAGTAATTTTGTCTATATTTTATAAATTATTTTAAAATGACATTAGATTGAGAACCCAAACCTTCAGTATTTTACTGACCTCAAATCAGGTATGTAGGAAAGAAGGGACGAAACGAAGTTATCTAATGAAATTATAGTTCTCAATTATCCAGGAGTCAAATTACAAAATATTTTAAATTTAATAGTTTATATTTTAGCCCCTACTTGAAGGGTTAAAGAGTAAAATATATATTTTGATATATACTTATGAAATAAAATTCAAAAGTTCGAGTTCAGATCTAATTTTTTTAATATATTGTATTTGTATATAATATATCATTTTAAATATAGTGTAGCCGCCAATAGTATGAACATTTGTGAAAAAACGTCAAATGACCTAAAATGGCCACAAATATATTTGAAGCGATTATAAATTTGTATAATTTTGAAACGTTGTAACAGATTTGACAAATAAATTAAAAAATGCTTTTTATTTTAAATTAAATTTAAATGGCTAAATGGTAATTAATATTTATATTAATACAAGAACAGTATATATTAAAAAATAAATAGCAGATAATTTACAATATATTAGCAAACTATTAATACTCTAGATCCATTAATATATAATAGAAAGCACAATTGTATTATAAATATATCTTTGATAAAACATTATTAAAATTTATATCAAATATCTCATAATAAAAATTTTAATGCAATCTCTTTTTTTTGCATAATAATGTATAAATTGAATTAAATTTTTGTTAGAATAGATAATATTATTGTTGTATTTTGATTTTATCAAACTATATTGAACCATTTATTAGAATTTGAATAATAGCTTTGTTTAAAAATGATATAAATAGGAGATAATTTACAATATTTTAGCAAACTCTTAATACTCTAGATCCATTAATATATAATAGACAGCACAATTGTATTATAAATATATCTTTGATATAACATTATTAAAATTTATATCAAATATCTCATAATAAAAATTTTAATATATAAAAATGCAATCTCTTTTTTTGCATGATAATGTATAAATTGAATTAAATTTTTTAGAATAGATAATATTATTGTTGTATTTTGATTTAATCAAACTATATTGAACCATTTGATTATTAGAATTTGAATAATAGCTATGTTAAAAATGATATAAATAGCAGATAATTTACAATATTTTAGCAAACTCTTAATGCTCTAGATCCATTAATATATAATAGACAGCACAATTGTATTATAAATATATCTTTGATAAAACATTATTAAAATTTTTATCAAATATCTCATAATAAAAATTTTAATTAATATATAAAAATGCAATCTCTTTTTTTTGCTTGATAATGTATAAATTGAATTAAATTTTTGTTAAAATAGATAATATTATTGTTGTATTTTGATTTAATCAAACTATATTGAACCATTTGATTATTAGAATTTGAATAATAGCTTTGTTTAAAAATGATATAAACATCTAAAAGATACTATTTACTTGGACTAATGGTCTCCATAAAATATGCACTCTTTGTTTTGCCTAGTTTTCTAAAAAAATTAATTATTATATGCAAATTAAATAATATATACTTTAATTTATAATTTTCTTAGTGTTGATAATTGTTGCGATATATCTTTAACCTCTTTAATTAGTTTTGGGAATCTTCGAGATTTTTTTGGGAATCTTGGCAATACGACAAAACGCCTAATTCATAATCTTCATACGATTTGGTGGGACGATACCGAGTAAAGTAGCAAATAACATATGGCAAAGATATAAAACATTCATTCATCTTCACACGAGTGTAATGAATAAAATTTTAATCAAAGTAATACTAAGAAATTTATCTATGAATAATGAACCACTGATCTTATACAAACCTCGCTCACAGATACAAAGAGTTATACATTATATTTACATATATAAATGAAGTTTTAGAAAACTTCTCCATTCATAGATTGTAAGATTGTACGAACACAAGGTGGCAAGGGAGGAAATGGTGGCTGCTCTTTTATTCATTTATATGGTAATAACAAAGGAGGTACTGGTGGTGGTAATGGCGGGAATGGAGGACATGTGATATTCAAAGGTTTTAAAAAAATCTTTTATACAATGTTTGTTAAGTTAATTTTAAGCAAATCATGATGTGCAATCTTTAAGTCACATGACTACAGTTTATAAGGCTGATGATGGTGAAAAAGGAGGATCAAACAATTGTGATGGAAAAAATGCTGAAGATTTAATAATACAGGTGGTAAATTAGTTATAATTATATAGGACTTTAAACTGAGCTGTTAAATTAGTATTAACAGGTTTAAAATAATTTTTAAAGGTTCAATTTGAACCAATATTATTTTTTTCAACAAAGAAAGATCATTAAAATTTAAAACTGATTTTTTATAAACATTAGAATATTCATATTTTGGAAGAAATGGTTATGTTTAAAAGTAATCATATTAGTTCTTATTTATTATTATTACCTTATAAATTATAAGAAATATATGCATTAATCTATTATCTTGTTTATACATAATAATTTTATATATTATTTTTATATATAAATAAGTAAGTATTAAATTTATTTTGATTAAAGGTTCACATGGGTATCCCTTTAAAATTATAAGATCTTTGGGGCCCTTAATTATTTTTTATAAGGCCTTAAAATATATTTTGTAAAAATAATCTAGTTTGATCCATAATAATTTTTTTATCATGGAAAGCTACATAAATTTGCCTAAAATTATCAACTTTAAAATCATTTTCAAAACTTTACCCTGGCCCATAAAAATACTTTACAGTTTGCACAATTTGTGTAGACCAGCCAAAACATCTTTTTGCCAGTTGGACTTTGTGTTAAATTGATCAGCCTAGCCAACATAGCCATGAATTGGATCAGGTTTGATACTAATAAGACAATCCACTTGAGCCAACTGCATGAGCCATCCCATTTGGTTGACTTGATGCGTTGGATCAATGAGTCAGTATGATGAGCATGCTCATTTGGGTCAGCTTATTTCTATCATCCACTAGAAACATAGTTATTTATATTTATCATAATGTTATTTTATTATTGAATGAATTTTAAAAAATATAGCCATGCCATTATGGCATGCTTTAATCAAAATAAAAAATTTATATATATAAAACGTTTATTTAAAATAAAAAATATAATATTAATAATAATATAAAACTAAATAAATTAAAAAATTTTATCGCTTTATATGCAACATGTTGAATTCAATACATAGCTCTTCATTTAAAGACTTAAACAGGATTTACGGACTTCGTCAAAATACAGATTGATAAAAATAACCCCCATTTACATTCTACTAATTCAATGAGCATCTTGCATCATGCCTATTCCGCTTGTAGAAGCTAGTGTTGTTAAACGGCTCGTTTGCAGGTTTTTAAAAAAGGGCTAACTCAATATTTCATCTGGGAAAATATTTCGCAAGCCTGAAGATTTTACTCATAAAAGGAACAAAGGTCTACTAGATATATATTATAGAAATCTCGAGGCCTAAACAATATTTTTCTAGCTAAAATATCGAGTTAGCCGTTTTAAAAATCGGCTCAAAACAAGCCGTTTAACAACACTAATAGAAGCCTCTGATTTTTTTATTGTCCGTTTTTAGCTTTGAAAAATCATTTTTCATTTTTTTAAGCGTAATTTTTAACAAAATTAAGATGGTAATATTTTATATTCTAGATTTTGCTCAATGAAATTGCAAACATTTTGAAATGGCGTTTTTATTTTTTCGATAGTTTGCACTCAAACATAGAAATTCTTTTATAGAACCAGGGTTTAATTTAACTTAACCAAAGCTATTAAGAATCGCGCGATTTAAACGCGCTATAAAACAATGTCTACAGCTGATCTACTTTTTAAGAGTCTCAAATACATTAGTAAATTGCCGTTTATTTTACTAATTCTGAGCTGTAATTTATATATAGAAAATACCAAAAATCTCATATTTGACGCCACGATAAAAATCGCGCGATTTAAACGCATTAAAAGGACTACGTCCAAAACTGATTTACCATCTCCAGTAAATCATTATTTACAACCCATTTTTTTCAAAATTAAAATTTTAAGAACCGGAAACGCTCTTTTTTAATATAAAAGTCCGACTTTCAAAACTCTGAAATTACTGATCACTTAATTATTATTCAAATTTTTATATAAAAAAAAGGTCCCTTTGGGTACGATATTTTTGAAAACGGGTTTAAATTTTTTAAACTCCAATTCGCTCAAAGTTTCAGAACAGGCACTCTTCAACCAGGACACCAAAATAATCGCCGAATTGAACCAAACAGGTGACATGTTCATAGCGGCTAGAGGAGGGTCGGGAGGTAAGGGTAATTCTTATTTCACCGATTCTGTCAACAAAGCCCCCCTGGTATACGAGAAAGGTGCCAACGGGGAGAAAGAACAGTATTTATTAGAAATGAGGACCATTGCTCATTTTGGATTGGTAATTTAAAAAAAAAAACTATTTATATAACATTACTATAACCACTACTAGTCCGAATAAGCCCGGACCTTCCACCCCCCGGGTCTTTTCGAAGTATAAATATTGTTTTTGAGTTAAGATGCTATTTTTTTTAAAAAAAAAGAAGTTATGGAATGTTTTTTGAAGAGGCTGTCATGTCAAACCTCTAAAAAATATGTCCCACTTTTAGGTTCATAATCATTCTTTTAAAAATTATTAAACTATTTACAGATCGGTTTTCCTAACGTAGGTAAATCAACGCTTTTAAGAGCCGTCTCTAGAGCGAATCCCAAGATAGCGCCATATCCATTTACCACGATAAGACCCCAGTTGGGAATCATGAAGTATAGCGACGGAATACAACTAAAAATGGCTGACTTACCGGGATTGATCCAAGGATCCCACCTTAATAAAGTAACTTGTATTATCTTTATTGAACTATTTATTGATAATGTACCCTGCCAGGTTTCTAACCGAATTCGGAATTATGAATCCGAATTAGTGGCAGAGATTTTTTTTCCACACTGTCCTTGAACTTAAACCAGGAAATATGTTTTTTTTGTTTCTTTCTTTTCCAATTTTAAAAGGTTTTTTTTTCTCAGGGTTTAGGTTACAGATTCTTAAGACACGCTCAACGTTGTATTTTACTGATTTACATGTTGGATTTTTCTACACCTACAAGTGACCACTCGATTCCTCAAAATTCGATATATCCCGACGAAGCCATTAAAAATTTTACAAATCATGATCGTCAAAATCTCGATTTATTTCGAGAAATGTTCCCGAACAACGAAGATATGGACGCCGTATCAAACGCCCCGGTTAACGAACCTCCTTGGGATCAATTCGAATTGCTGCGGAAAGAAATAGATCTTTACTTTTCCGATCCTAACAATAGGCTTTCAACGAATCATACCAATTCCTACTTCAACGACGACGAAAACTTTGGCGACAAATATAGTTCCCGGCTAAATTACGATAAAAACTCTGCTCACGATTTATCTCCTCATCCAAATCATCATTCGAAAGAAGATCTAGTCGACGAAAGCTTGAGCCAACCTAAAAAATTGATTGATGGCAGTTCCGGCAGAACGATAGGACCTAAGAACGAAAATAAAGAACTGACCTTATTGAACACCGACCATTATAAATACATTGTTTTGGGTACGAAATTTGACCTAGGGCCCGTTTGCCTTACAAATTTAGGCATTTTTAGGCATAAGTATCCGGACACACCCATTTTTCCTATTTCAGCCTCTAAGGGTTATAACATCAAAGATCTCATGGTGCAATTAAGGAAGATATATGACTGCGAAGAAGAGAATTTGAGTATAAGCCATATGAATATAATAATCAATTGAACGCGACAACAACAAAATAATCCTATAAAGAGTTTTTTTTAAAGAATATTGCCAAGTGTAAAAGTTTTATACCCTCAACGCAAAGTTAATTTATATAATAAAGGTTTATAGCAATTTCGATGCTTGGCTAGGCCAGAATTTATAATCGGGAACAAAATATGTACTGTTACTATCATATGAATTGACAAAATATTCATTCGGTCATTTTATAATAAAAAATGGCGAATAATGATTTTATTTTAAAAAAAATATTCCCAAAATAAAAACATTCCCATTTTTTTTTAAATGAGATTTTTCAAAGAGTATTATAATTTTATTTAAAAATCTGAATTAACATTGGTATCGAGTAAAAACAAATAATAATTCATAGGCAACTAACCTAGCCACAGTCCAACTGAATAAATTCTTTGGTAAGGATCCAAGTTTCAAAACGATAAGATATAATCGGTTTGCATATGATTCCGTAAATGAGAATTTGAAGTTTGAGTAAGACGATTTTTGATTTTCAAAGAATAAATAGAAAGTTCAAGCCATATTTCCTCCTAGTTTTAATATCATTTTCGGTTTGAACTGATGTAAACAAACTCTTTCACACATTTCAATGGAATGACCCTAATAAAACTAGATTAGATTCGACTGGTCATAATTTTTGTTTTAAGGATACTAATCACAAATACACTTTGCGACGAGGGCATCGATTTAAAATTGGCAGTCCCATAATGCTCCACACCTACATTAACCTTGCAGGATCTTGAATATGATGATGACATCTTCTATAGCAACTATAGTTATTTTTTTGATTTCAAATCCTTGCCCAAAAACTTTTTTGTATTTTGAACATATTTCAAACTAGTTGCCGGAGAATTATTGAAATCGAAGAGATTGATAGATTTACCAAAAGGTTATACAAATCGCAAATAGGAAGTCTCTAAGCAGCTTATGTCCAGCAGGTGCCTTTTGTTGGGCGTCAAATTCGCGTTACTTTCAATCGTGGTCACATCCTCTACATTCGTGGACATAGTTTTAGATGCATAAGGACGTCCAAAAACAATTATGTTTCCAAATTAATAAATCATAATTTCTTTTCTCTGGGAAAATTCCCCATTTAGTTTATATAAATATATGGAAATTCTTTTTTATATTTCATTTATTTTTTTATCCTTCAACTGCCGTTACTACCCTACTTATGTTAAGCAACTGTTTAAATCTAGACACAGTAATTTAATCTAGCTGAATACCGATGCAAGGAAAGTTTTTGGAAAAGTTATGCTATATGGGAAAGTAGTGTTATTAAGCGGTTCGATTTGAGCTTATTTTTTAAAACGGCTAACTCGTTATTTTATCCAGAAAAATATTACGCAAGCCTGAAGATTTTGGTCATAGATGACACAAAGGTTTGGAAATTAAAATTCCGGAACCTATGCGATATTTTTCTGGCTAAAATATTGAGTTAGCCGTTTTTAAAAATCGGCTCAAATCGAGCCGTTTAACAACACTATGTGAGGCTATTGCAAATATTTCGCGATTAATCTGCTTAAAAGGGTTATCTACAAATCAAATACTCTGTATATTAGTTGCAAAATGTGGTCTGGTTTTGGGAAAACAAAATCAAAGATAAGAAATCGAATAAACCATTAATGAGTGGGAAAATTGGCTTCAATCCGTTATTAATATTTACATGATAAAATTTTCCCAGAATCCAATAAAATGGGAACAATCAATCTATTTATAGGGGTGATTTTTAAATCATTTTATTTTATAATATAATTTTATTTATATAAATTAACTTCTATTGGGCCTTATATCGTTATATATATATAAAAAATATTGAATGTTTTACTTTTCCTTATTTTCACGAGAATTTTTCATATATTATGAGAACTTATTTAACATCTCGAGCAATTTATAATATTATTTTTCTAATTTGGCCATAAGGTTAAATAAAGGGAAAAGGATTAAAATATTATTACACATTTTCTATACAAACCTACCTATGTTCAATCCCATCAATGACATAAAACGAGATTAAGAAAAAATTTTACATTTCTATAATAAAAATTCAAGTCTTTAAAATATTTATTTAAAGGTTATTTTTTTAAGCATAAAATAAACCTTCAGATGACAATAAATTTTTTATTAATTTCAAAAGTATGAATAAATTTATAAAAATTAAAATTTCGCTAATTTTGATCATATTGACCTATCTTGCACGGATTGCAACAGTCTTGAGATCCTGTGAAAGTTTTATATTCTATTTTTTGATAAATATTATGGATATAATTGATGAGCAGAGATTCAAACCTGCCTCTATACCACGTTTTTAATGGGTTATGAATGAAAGATATTTCATTAAAGTAACGCGTTTTTGCCACATGATTTTTAAAATGTAACCATTAATAATCCATTTGTTTAAAATATTTATTTACATTAATTGAATAAATAATAACGGTACATAATATAATAAATTTGACGAATGCTATATTTCATTAATATAATAATAAATACGAATTACGATATGTATATATGTTTTTATTAAGGAGGAATACTGTCGTTGAGATTGTTTCTGATGTTGTCATTAATCAATTTTTTGAATGATCCTTAGCCAATTCCGGAAAAACGTCCGATATTATTATGTCAAGTATCACGTAGGATAACTAAATGAATACAAAAATATTGAAACATAATCTATATAATTAAGAATAAAAAACTGAACGTAGATATAAATATCTTATAATAAGTTAAAAAGTTAGGTTTAATGATTGTAAATTTAACTACACTATATGCAAAATAAAATGAGATTAATAAATTATAAATCATCATATTTTGCCCTATTTATGCATATTGTAAGAATAAAAAACGCATATCTTTTAACCCCGCCCCCAATTCATATAAACATTGGCATCGGTGCGAAGCCAGGAATTCTAATAGGAGGGGGAAGAGGGGTAAAATTTTTTTGAATCATTAAAAATATATTTAGATCTAATCAGTATAAAATTATTATAACCAATCACATATTAAAATGACAATTTTGAACACAAATAATAAAATGTCATAATTGTTAAAAAATATATATCTATCACCGCGGTATGTTAAATCACAGTGAAATATAGAAGTAAACATTACATGATAATTTAGTTGAAAAATATCATTCATAAATGAAAAATTTAATCTTTACGATTTGCACCAATTTTCAATAATTTGTTCTGAATGGGGATTAAATTTCGATGTCATTCTTTTGAGATAGATTTTTTATTCACCGTAATGAAGAAAAAATCCTCATGTGTGCTTGTACTAAATGTTGGCAGATACAGAAATTTTAGTATATTTGTGGAAAAAAAACTCCAAAATATATTTTAAAGTAAGCAATGACTTTAATCGCGTTTCTTGAACGATTACCTACTAAAATTAATTTTTCCATACCTAGATTTAAATTTTGAAATTAATAGAACTTTTGGGTCAAAAATGCATTCAAAAGTGGAATAGGAAGGACAGACTACTTTAGAGTAATCCTCAATTGAGTCAATGTTAATATTGACATTTGTTTGGCCAAGTGCAAGTTCTAGGCTTGCGAATCTCAAAATCTTTCGCTTTCACCTAAACAATCATATAAATCTCTTGATATGGTAGATATTATCTATTAGTTTTATAAGTTGTTATATAGTAAAATTCGCGATTCTCATAACTTCGGCCAAATCCATATCATTTTTTTGAAAAATATTGCATTAAAATTGTGGTGTAATTAAATAATTTATTATTTAAATTCCAATGAAAAAAAAATTGGCTGTCATATTGAATCTAATAATGTATTAGCTTAGATGAAGTATCTCATTCCGGCTATTCTAATATTCCTCAAAGGGTACACAAAATAGGCTCTTATAAATCCAAAAAATGCAGTAAAAGCATGAGTCGAAGTTTACATGTTGTTGGGCATGCTTTTTGTAATATCTTTCTTCATGCGACACAGAAAGTTTCAAAATTTTCTATTCGGCAAATTCTGTCTCATTGGATATCTGAACATTTCATACACTATAGCTGGGTGTATTTAAAATAAAAAAATAATTACGACCCAGTCCGTGGCGGGTCTCTGGAATATACGTAAAATTTTTGCGGAGGGAAGAAATATTCCCTCTCTGGCTAGGCGCCTAACTTCAATATTTAACCCTTAAAACCAGGCTCTCTTTATTTAGCCTCACTTTCATACACCAAATTTTGAAAAATATATATGTCGTATTAGGGAAATGGAATCCATGAAATTCTCTGAATCTCATTTTATATCATTTACTGAGGGAGATATTTAAATTTGAAGAATCTAATTTGACCGGAAGTGTATTCAGCATGTGTGAGAGTGTCACAAACCTTTGTGTATATTTTCAAAAGTTATAATCAAAATTGTCTGAATTTCTTGTGTGAATACTATAAACATCATGTAATACATATTCTGGTCAAATCTGATTTTTCGAAGTTAAAAATTGCTTATGAGTAGATGATTATAAATTGAAGGATATCCCAAATAGAAATACATATTTTTAAACTCTAACCTTATACTAAAAAAAAAATGTAGAATGTTTTAAAAAAATAGATTAGTTATTATTATACATGCTTATTTAAAATTGGATGTTGAAAGCATTCGAACAGCAAATCGGTTCCCCCTTCAACATTTTTTTCCGGCATGACCCATTTCAGGAACGACGATTTTTTGTTTAGCAAAGTTTTGGCCGCTATGTATCTTTCTCTCTTTTTTGAATGATCTTTTTCAGCCGATTTTGCTGCTTCCTTTAAGACGGTAGGGAATATGGTTTCTAACATTTTAGATACGATTAAAGGAAAAAGGTTATACGTATAGGGGAATAATTACATGCCGATGTATTATCTGTCATAGCTCAAATTCATGGGCGTAACATATATCCCATGCCCGTGCTGGGAGAGGGAGGGTCATTTTTTTTTACTTATTATAATTTCATAATTTTATATATATTTTTTCGAGCAAGGTGGGGGGGGGGGGGTCACGAGTTGAGACACGGTTATGCTAAAATTGTAAGGTCGTGAGGATATCAATGATTTATTGGAACCTTGAAGTCATATCAAATCGATAATGACACTGAGAAGGTGTTAACCCAAAATAATAAGGACAAGTAGCCTAGCATCCTCTCCACTAACCACCAAATATAAATCAAATGAAAAAAAATAATATTAACTAGAGATCATTTTCAGCAAATCATTAACGAAAGATGGATGAGTCAAAACTTTGGTTTTGTGAGCTATTTTGGTGGCAACAAATGATTCGAATATCGGTTTAATTCCCGTCCTAAAAGCTAGGAGCAACCTTATCAGCCATTCTGGCGCGTGGTATATATTGAAACCTTCGGATTCAAATAAATAAATAAATATTGGTACATTTAAAAAAAAAAATTTTATATCTAAAGTAGGCATCGATCTTACACGAAAGGGTTTTTTAAACCGGTTCAAAATATAGAGATTTCCAGGTCCAAATTAATTTAGGACTGGGTTATGCAGAACTCTGATCCAAAGATTACATTAATCAGTTTGACTACAACTCGCATCCTAAATAAAACATTTTTTTTAAATTAAATTACATAATTTACCTATTAACCCCCCCCCCTCCCCCCAATTAAATTTAATTAATAATGCCATTTTTGGTTTTGTTATATAAAATACAAATTTATTTGATATGGGGCGCGAATTATATACTCTCATGCCCATATTAATTAGAGCCTTTATCGTTAACAAGTATTATATGGCTTGATAACCTAGCATATATGCAAAAAAATGCTTTGCTTAAATTAGATAACTCAATTAATCCTCCTTAATCACGTGAATGCATATTATATCGTTTAGTTGGACTATATTAGTAACTACAATAAAAAAATATTTCAGTGTTTATCTTAATTAATCGAATATAATTATAATGTCCACAAAAAAAAAATTACAGAGATAAATCAAATAATCGTAAAATCCTGATATGGCGTATTGTTTGCGTTTTTTCTTGTGTTGTTGATCCATGGAAAAATATTTGTTTCGTTTATAGCCATTCTCATCTAATTTAGAATCATCGCACATAATTGACGTAGAAAGCCCTTCGAAGTCCCTTTCATACAAAGGGTTATCAAGCTTGATATAATATTTTAAAAAAATTTTAATTATGGTTTTTTTTAAAATTTCATTTACATATACCCGGCGAAGGCAATGCCTTCAATAGTTAACCCCCTTCCCCTCCATTCCCAAATTATTTTTCTACCCCCTAAGGAGCCGACCTCCCTGAGACAAAACCCTTCCCAACATTCATGTAGACACGATCTGCTTGAAGTTTTTTCTTTTCTGCCCAAGTCTGCCCGCGGTAAGGTGACAGTTTTATTTTAGATCCAAATAATATGAAAGTAAACGCCATAAATACATAGAAATAAAATAAAAATAAGTACTAATCGTTGTATGAGAATTAGACTATTCTATATCCACTACTTTTTGTCAAAAATGACTTTTAAAAATAAATAATTATATAAAAAAATTCGAAATATTTATAAAATAACTCAAATTAAATCCGATAAAACAATCCTATCAAAAACGATTAGAAATTTAATTTTAAAATTTGCCCTCCCAGAAAATTATAGAAAATGGAGATAGAATATTTTAATTCTCGGGCCAAGTATTATTATCAATTTATATAGTACCCAATTATTAGAAATCTTATTTTCACACTTTCCATTTTGATTATTGCCATTGTTGAGGTAGTTATAGGCGTCGGGGGAGGAGTAGTAAGTCACTTTGCTCTTATTTTTGGCAGTTTCTGTGGATGATATGAACGACTGAATAAATGGTTCCAAATGCTGCCCTTTCTAAGAATAAATATATTAAAATTTAGAGATTCTAAACAATAATGATGGGTAATAGTGCGCACAAATTGAACGTTTCAACGCAAATTTTCAAAACGCAAACAAAAAAAAAACGTAAACGGAGCTACGTTTAAATTGAACGGTTAATTATTATTTTTTAATATGAAACGTCTAAATTTAACAAATAAAAAAAAACTCTCCAATTTAAACGAAGGCATTTAAAATGTATTATTTGAGTTTTGAAACGCTAAATTTGTGCAGCATTATTTTTTTTATTTAAAAATTTCATTTTTGTTGATGATATTTTCAAATTAGACAAAAAAGGGAAAAGCTACAGGAAAGTAATTTAGGGAAAATATTTTTTTCGTGGACCGGCATTTTGTTGAAGGAAACTAATAACGGTTCGGTCGAACTGCAAGTAAAATTTGTAATCATTATCTTCCAGTTCGACATTACATCCTGGGTTCATTAAAAGTTCGTTTCGTTTTTTTTTGCATAATCAAGGTATAACCAGAAATTTCGGTCCAAAGCCAGGCTTAGACCTAAAAATAAAATATTTTTGTAAAATTTTTATATATATATATTAAAATAGGAAACAATGATAAATTAAAATTTCTGGGATTAGGAAAAATAAAGAAAGACAATTTTGTGATATTTATTTAATCGTTATAAGAAATGTGTTTATTTTTTTCAAAAAATAAAAATTATGGGCCGAGGCCTAAAAAATTGAACAGCTATAGGATAATTTTTATACGTAAAATATCTATACCATAAAAAGTTTAACCGACATAATAATTTATTATCTAATTTTAATAAATTGAAAAAAAAAATTAATTTTGCGGTTACTACTAACTAAAAAATAAGATAAAATCTTAGATAATTCTAACTTTTTTAAAATGTTTTTATCCTGAATTCATAGTTAAATTCGCGGTGAAGTATACAAAATATGGTGTGTTTTTTGTATTCATCGTCACTAATTCGCGCTAAACTGTGAATTTCAGGGGTGACTTGATACAACGGTTCGGCGCGTTTCTTTAGAAATTATTTTCAATGCCAGTTCAATTATAGTTCGATCAAGGAGTAAAAGTATAATGATGAATTATTTTATAAGCGTTATAATGTAATGTAAATTACTTCGGGTAATAAACGTAAAGGTGCTTTGAACATCTTTCCTTATATATAAAAAATAAAATAACCAAAAAATTAATTTGAAAATAAACGCTTTATTTTATAGTTGTAAATACTAAAATTTTAAAAAACCTTTTATAAAACAGCCATAATAAGGATGTTTATTAATAATCACTAAAATTAATTTAGCCGAAATTTTGATAAGAGGAACTAAATCGAAACCGATTTTCTGAAAGAGGTCAACCCCCCCCCCCCCGGTCCAGATTACCCCGGGTTCAATGAGTTGCCCATGAATCGTTCCCTGTCTGTGTCAGTGGTCTCAATTGTTCAACTAAATAATTTTTAATTTATGAAACTTAATTTGGGTTCACAACCCTGGTATGTACTATAACCTCCTATAGTTAGGTAAATGGCTATAAATCGGTTTATTCGGTCTAAACGGGAGTTGAGCTATATCTTCAAAAAAGAAAAAAATTTAGGGTTGACGTTAAAGGTTCAACGTCAAAAACTGGATTTAACCGTTTTTTTTAGCTAAAACTATGATCCAATATATCGTATATTAATTAGAGCAACCTAAGCTGAGGTCCGGCAAAAAGTAATTAGTGTTATCGACGAATTCGTTCGGGGAAGTTAGAAAACTGTGCAGTAGCTCGCTGTTTCGCAGTTCGGATTTATGGCAAAGTTTTTGCAAATAATTTTCGAAGAGGGACTTTTTGGCGTTGACGAAGGCCCAGTCTTTAGCGCTAAACGCCCTTTTAGTAGGCAGCTGAACGTCTTCAAATGAACCTATATCATGTTATATTTATTCGTATTTTTAAAGATATTAGATATCATAATTGGCTAAGCGTAAAATTTAAGTAATTGTGTACGTGAAAACCCCACCCCTTAAGGGTATGTAGAACCTAAAAAAAAAGATAATTATTAAATCACAAAGAATCATTGTTTGGCCGCAAGGTAGGGAAGAAATCAAAAATAAACCCAATTCAATATCATGAAAAGGGGTATGGAAAGCCAGGCTGTAGGCAGGCGTAGCAAAAATGCCAGCTTCTATAACATTTTCTTATTTCTATACTAGATTTAGCCAATAGATGTATTTATAGATACTTTTTAGTTCTACGAAATGAATTTTCATGAATTTCTTCATCAATAACAATTTTTTGCTATGAATCAAAAGTGCCCTTTTAATTATAAAAGAATTTATGATAGATTCTTCAATATCTAACCTACAGATTAAACTTAATCCGAGGTTTCATCTTGTCTAGAAGATATGCTGAAATCATATAAGTTTTACACATGGCACGTGGTAAAGTGAAAAATAAGGCAGGATTACTTCGCAAATTTTATTATCGATTTCAAGGGTGCCAATGGTTAATTCAATTAGGTTACAATATTTTTTTTAAAAAAGACAATGATTTGGCACACTGTGTATAACCTGTTTCCTGTGAACATACCCTAGTTGTGTCAGGAATGACTCATCTTAAGAAAATCCTAATTGCGAACTAAATATAAATTTCGATTAATTTGAATAATTAAAATGAAATAAATCTGATATATATTTTACCCCCGATTATTGGTAGATCGAAAAGAGCATGACTTTCTTTTAAAAAAAACGAAATCTTAAATAGGGCTACTAATAAAAGATAGAAAGCTCGAGGTTTTTATTCATTTTATAGTCTTTAATTTTTCTTTCTTTCTTTCTTTCTTTCTTTCCTACAAACATGAAAAATATAAAGGTGAATATAATTTCCATTCAGAAAAAAAAATAACTTCAAAAATTAAATAGGACTAAACCGTGAAATTCGACCAATTTGCTCTCCAAAACGTAAAATTCCAAGTACCTCCTTTCAACTACCCAACTGTCTAGACTTGGGATCGAATGGTCAGATCCGCAACTACCGTTCTGATTTAAGTCGGTTAAGGTAGAGTCTAAGGGAGCTATAAATACATCGTTCGCGGTGTGTTCGTTATTCGCTATTTTTTGAATGTGTATGATGAAGCTTGATAATAATAATAATAAATGAAAATCAATAAATATAAAACGCCGATTACGGCGGATTTATATCTCGAGCCCTGTAAATTATTTATTTTGGACGCCATTGAAGGATTTAGAGACAAAAAACTAGTTACAAAAATAATAAATAATACTGGAAATTTTGTCTTCCAATATTATCAACACGTGACTCGATTTTGGGGATAGTAACGGTGAGAAGCGACAGATCCTTTTGGTGGGCGTTTATATCGTTTGCTAGGTCGCTGCCGACGGATCCGATTTCGTCTTCCATCTTTAAAAACAAACCATACGTTATGATTTTGTGTTTTTTTTAAAAAATGATGTTTTTAAAATCAGAGTTTAGAACAAGAACTTTTTTTTTAAAAAAGTGTTCCGCTTTCGATTCTTTAATGCACGGTTCCGAGGGTTCCAGATGTTTTTTGTTTCCGGTTTCAAACTGTTGTTAAAGTAAAAAAATATATATATTAATGAACGAACATAATGAATCTTAAACAGTTGTGTAAAATATAAATTCATAGTTTGAAAGCCTCCTCAAAATACAGGAATTTTGATCAAAGACTTAAGAGGTAATAAGTAAATAAAAAGGTTAGGTCTATTTTATAGCAAGTCCTCCATTTTAATAATATCGGATAATCGTATTTTTTTATTTTTCTTTCTAAAATACACGGGTAAAAAAAAATTTCAAATTTAACTTAAGCTGGAGAATAAGGGAGTAAGAAATAAAAATCAATTTGATATAAATCGAGCGATTTTTTTTTCATCGATATAAAAATTCAGATTTTTAAATATTCAAAAAAATTTTTTATTAAATTCTCACGGGTGATTCTAAAGAATATTTCTATATTCGCCAGGAAACAAAAATCTGACGTTCAAAATTTTTTATCAATTCATGGCTCCACACAGCCTATGTTCCATCGTTTATTTCTTATTATTCATTTATTTACATTTTTTTTGTTTTGTTTTAAAATTATATCTAATTTTAATTTAAAATTATTATGGCATTGGGGCACATCTATAATTTACTACTAATTTAAATAGGTGTTGTTAAAAAGCCCGGTTTGGGTCGATTTTTTAAAAACAGTCTGATTAAGATTTAAGTTAAAATATTATTATGTAAGCATCGAGATTAGGCGAATGAATGGCCAAGCATTTTTTCCAGCTGTAAGCAAAATCTATAAGCTCACATAATGTTAATTTTGGCTATATAATATATTGTAGGGAGACAGGAGGTAAGTATTTTATTTTCGAATAATTTAAAAATTAATCAACTTTGAGATTTGAAATTTAAGCCAAATATGTATTTTAATAAGATGCTTAAGTGGGTCTAAAAAATTTTCGACAACATTGCTTACAAAAAACTTTAAACGCAAATTTAATTTTAACATACACAAACTAAGAAATTTTACATTTTCACTAATAACTTTTTCATATAAAAGTTGTTCAGAATTAATATTAATTCTAAATGATAAAAAAATCTCCATTTTATTATATATAAAAATATTGAAAATCATTATGTTAATTTAATATTCTAAATTTAATTTTTAAATGATCCTAAGGACCCGGAGAAGGTATTAGCGAGATTATAATAAAAAGAAGACATTATTCTTTTCAAAAAAAAAAAAAAATTAATCATAAAACTTTATAAAATAAATTAAATATAACTATATAAAATATTTAAAAACATATTTATGGGATAAAAACGAAAATAAAAATTTACCGACGAATCAGTAATACTGTTAGGATCCTGGTTTGAATTTTCGGTTGGTGACGATATAAGATTTCCTTCTAAAAAATTTAATAATTACAAATAAAATGTAAATTTTTTAGTAAAATTATAATGATAGCAGGCTTGGACCAGCCCTGAGATCGGGTATACGAGCCGGCCCTCATTTTAACTTTTTAAAATATACCCGGGCCGGGTCTAAAATATATATATTTTTTTTTAAAATACAAGAATATTTTAAATCACCATTATTAGCTATGAAATCTGTGCCGGGTCTGAAAAAAAATAAAACTAGGGCTGGGCCGTGCAAATGGTACCTCTCCAGGTCTCCGATAATAATAATACATGACGCACTGCTTGTCATTTTTAAATAGCGAATCTGGGGTTTCTAGCCAAATTTATAAAGCTTAAATCATTTTGAAAGATCTCATTTTACAAAAATCGTATCCCAGCGTGGATAAGAGGTAATCTACACTGGAAATTTCAGACACCTTTATAAGCAAACCCCTGAAAATATTTTCGATAACATATGGATGATAAATAAAACCCCTCTATGACATAATATAACAAATAAAAAGTTTATTAAGTTTACACGTTATATAACAAAAACATAACTCTTTTTAAAAAAAAAAATTGGACCTGTAGAACCTTTGAAGACCCCCTTTATCTTGTGTCCTAATTTCGATACAGCAGCAAGCATTTCTGTACTTTTCCTGTTAGGTCTGTTAAAGAGATAAATACAAGGTCAATCAATAATTAAATTAAATTTCTTTACGAATAATTAAATTAGAGATAATCATATTTGTATAATGCTTTCCCAATTTCCTCTTTTTCGATATAGGTTTTTTTATATTTCAATTCGGGTATGCTCAGAAACATAAATTTTTATATAGTTTTTTTTATACTAATTTTATTTACCGTTGTTTCAGATTTATGTGAAGTTTTGGTTAAATATTTACAACTTTAATAAGTGTAAAAGTTATTCACCCCCCAAAAAAATGTGTTTATATAAGAAGTAAATTTTTATAAAAACTTGAGACTATCTTTTCCTAGAGTGAACATATTTCTGCCTCCTAAAATCCAATTGATGTACTGTAAAAAAAAATATATTAGTAATCTTATAAGATTTATTTGATAAAACTTAAAAAACTATTTAAATAATCTAAAATTATACGTATAAATTTAAATAATCCATAAAATTGGGGTTAACATTTAGATAATTATTGTGAAATAATTCTAATCCTCATGAAAATAGTAAGAAAGTATTTTTAACATGTTTAAACTCTAGGTCTATTGGAAAGACATTTTAAAAATTTATATGTGGTGTCCATTTAAATGATGCATATGATATAGTTGTGTCGCTACCGTTAAACAAAATATTCACGCCAAAAGCTATCGAAACATCTAGGTATATTTGTAAAATTTAAAAAGATAACTTAAATGGCGTTCAACGCTTAACCGATTATATTCGGCACGAGTCTAAAGCTCGGGCCGAATTAACCGATACTAACCCCTTATCCGCTTATAGCGTTTAACGTAGTAAACCTAAAAATTTTGGAAAATATGGGGATAGGCCATTTAACAAAAAAAAATTATAAACTGGGCCGCTTTGGCAAAAGAGAGGAATGAATGTATTTTCCAGCAAAAAAACGACATGTTCTCTAGACGTGTAAAGAGGAGACGTATTGCGCAATTTTAAGACGTTTTCTGGTTTGTCTTCCGAGACTTTTTTTTAAAAAATATTATCAAAAAAATAATAAATTTCTATTTTAAAATAAAGATAAAATAGATGGGGAAAAGAGGTTGAATTTTTTTTCCCTTTTTGTTAAATTCCCGTTAGGATCAATAATTTTCTGAAATCAGAAAGCAACATAGAGATCTGGGTTGAGGTTAATATAATATTTAAAATATAGGCTCTTTCTTTCTTTCTTTCTCACTTTAAGTCAAATTAGATATACCATCATCCCACCTCAAAACTAATCAGAAAATTGAGTGACAATAAAATGGTGGCCATTTAGCAAAATGTTTTTTAACTAATGATACATTTTTCAAATGATTAATATATTTTATAACGAAAACAATCGAGGGAGGAAAAAAATGAATACCATATTTTTAGAGATATGCATAAAAAAATGGAAATGATTAAAATAAACTGTATTTCATTTGAGCTATGGTGTTTGCGTCGAAGTCTATTCTATCCGAAGATGACTGATCGAAAAAGTTCTTGTACATCTGCTGGCATTGCCTGTTCAGTATGTCGATTTGTGGCAACTTGAGATCGGGATTGAGAATGAGCTTCATGAAATCCTCTTGGTTTGCATAAAATATAACATAATCTAAGAAAGTTATAAACCATCTTTTTCTCTTTCGATTTAAAAACGTGGAAACTTCGAGCTAGCTACTAGTGCTGTTAAAAAGCCCGATTCGGGTCTATTGTAAAAATAATAACCAGATTAAGATTACAACTAGTGTTGTTAAACCATCTAACTTTATCTAAAAAAAAATAGTCTCTCATTAAGTTGAGGCTAAACTTAGACGTTTAAGTCAATTTTTTAGAGGATAATCTTGACCACGCCATATTGGAGTTTGGTCAAAGTTAGGTAATTTAACATCACTAATTACAACAAGTAAGCCTAAAGATTTTGCTCATAGCTGGCAGAAATGCTTGGACATCTATGTGGCAAATCTTGATGATTATATAATAAAGATTTATCTTAAATCTGGGCTTTTTAACAACGTTACTAGCAGAGTTGTTAAAAGATACTTTTAAAATGGATCTAGATACAGATACATCGTCTAAAATAATATATAGATACTGATATTTTAATCAAAAATCTATCTAGATACAGATACAGATACCACATTTTTATATCTATCTAGATCCTTTAACAACTCTGGTTACTAGCTACCTCGTTTCATGTAAATCACTAAAACCATCCGTTAATAAGTCAAATGTAAAAATCTTGCCAATATATTTTATCTAAAACCTATACACATAATCTCTATATATTATTGAATGTCGACATGGTGTTGTTCATTTACAGGCCGCATTCACAGTGGAATCCGATTCAACGCGATTTAACAGCTGATCGATTTTTAAAATCTGTTCATGTGATTGGCTTTTCTTTATCAACATTACTTTTATCTTTCAAAATATTCTCCATAACAATCAAAGAAAAATAATAAAATCGATCTCATAAACAGATTTTTAAAATCGGTCAGCTGTAAAACTTGTGGATCAAATTTCACTTCGAATTTCATATTGAATGCGTCGCGAACAGCTGATCGAGTTTATAGATTTCATTTAAAAAAAAATAATGCCTCAGATTATTTATTTAAAAATTAATGAATGTATCATGAGTGGAAGCAAAGAACAACGGAAAGGTAGTAAATAAATTTTTTAAAAAATGAATCCTCATTAAAAGATTATAAACTAGATCAGCTGTTAAATAGTTTTCGCTTTGGCGTAGACTATGAATTTAAGTACTAATTTATTATGGTATGAGCGATGGACGCGATGCGTAGGTATCGCTAAACGATATCGCCACTGCAATATTTAATTCGTAATTTAAGAATCGTGATAATGTCGCGCTTACTGTAAACGAGGCCTAATCATTAGAGTAAATCCCTGTCATATATTGCGTGTGAAATAGCAAAATTTTGGACAATCGATTCAAACATGAAATATATATAGTTTAAGCTTAGCCACAAAAGGCTACTTTTAATTTACAGCTGTTTCTAAATGTTTTATACTCTGGTTGGTAACGGGGAGAGGACGTGGGTGGGGGAGGGGGGGGGGGGTCAGGACAGATTTTAACATGGCTAAATGATAAAAGTTAGAAAAAGTCAACGATTTGAGGTGATTAAAAAAAAGATATAAATAATAAATAGTATATTACCCAAGGACATGTAAAATTGGATTAAATTCAGAACGCCTTCCGATTTCATAAAATTCATGAAGAGAAAAAGTAAATCCTGGTTGTGAACTATTTCTTTCAGAGATATGCCGATGGTCTAATTTTTTTTTTAAAAAATAAGAGTTAAATATTAAAAAAAAATTATAGTTTTAATTAGAGATCTGCAAATGATCTATTTTTTTAATTGTTTCGGTTAGGGCTGAATCGGGCCTATTATTTCTTAAAAAATTAAGAGGTGGGTTAAAATTTTTAAAAATGATATCATTACATTCTGTCAAATAAATTGGTATCTTTTTAAAATTCTTACAAGAAACAAGGAGCTATTTTTACAATAAAAAAATAGGTTAAATTTTTTCTTTATTTAAAAAATTTAGGTGTGGGCTTTAAAAAGTAGGCCGAGGGCAGATCAGCAATGTTAATATTTTTGATTTTGTATAAAGTAACATAATAAAGTAAATCATAGGATTAGGAATATATGGTTTGGGAAGGAAGGTGGTGATTTACAGTTCTTTTTTTTCAAATCTTATTTTTAGATATGCCACATGTTAACCGTTTAAGTAAATGTTTATAATAAAAATTAATATTTTCAAATATAGTTACGAATAAGATTATTTGATCCTCATAAAAAAAAAGAATACTTGCCGATTTTTGAATAGGATACTTAGAGCAGAGGCCTTGAAGTAAAATGATCCTTGGTTCGTGGTCGGCGTCATATTTGCTCAACTTAACCCCAACAACAAAAAATTTAAAAAAAAATTAAAAATAATAATATTATTATGATAATTTATTTTTAATATCTCAAATCAAATTGGGTCGATTTAAAAAAAAAAATTTACATTTTCTTCGGATAGTACGATAATCAAATAATTGAAGAAATCCTAAATATAAATATATTTTAAGATTAGTTTTTTTTTTAAAATATATATATATATATTACTTATCATGTTATCAATGTAAGTTATAATTAATTGTTTTGTTTTAAGTGTAAAGTTCAACAAATCAAGAAAAAATACCATGGGCGATTTTAAACTTATGAAAATTCCATGGTGCAAATAAAGTAATCAGATATAATTTATTTAATCCCCCCACCCTTATTTCAAATATTAATAATTATTTGTATTATTTGATATAAAATAATATATATTAACTGGATCAGTTATAATATCCATGCAAGGTAATATGACCCTGTAAGCTATCAATTCTTGTAGTAGAGACGTTAGTATCCTAAATTGGGATGATATAAATAAATATGTATAATAAGGTAAAGAAAAAGGATATTTCTTTTAAGAGTTTGGTAAAGAAATTTTTCAACAAATGCAAAAAGAATTCAGAAATTCAAAGATCAAAATGTATCCAGAAAAGAGAAAAAAATAAGTGAATGTTAGAAAGAAAAAAAATCAATTATAACTATTTAGTTTTATAAGCATACAATATTTACTGTTAAATTTATACAAAACATTGAGCAAAGCTAGTTTATTTATTCTTTTATAATGGTTCTAAGCAGCATCTTGATTATACAATCATCTATTTTATAGTTGATACCAAAATATATATCTCATTCATTATAAATATATTTATTTATATACTAACGTTGATTTCAAAGCATTACGAGGGAATATTAGGGGAACTATCTCAGAAGAAAGGTATCTCAGATATTCAATTTCTTTTTTCCTGCTTTGTGTAGTAACGTGAAGGTGAGAGATGGATTTTTCGATTATAGCAATCTCCAGTTCTTTGTTTTTGACGTTTGCTAAGACTTTATGAATCATAAAATCAAATCATTTAATGAGTAAATATGATATGTAATACTTTGTTATGGAATACAATATGAGACTTAAGGGAATTTTAGTGATTTATTTCATGTCTTTATTCTAAGTAATCGGTTTATGGGGGTAATCTCACATTAAATAATTAATAAAAAAATATAGTCAATATATTATATTATTAAATATTAAAACTTTCATTTTTGCAAATTTGGTACAGATCAATATGGCTAATTAAGGCTTTAATTAATTTGTCTTTTAGTAGCTTATCATGACTTGTGATCTGATAATTTATTTCAAAATTAATAAGGTATTAAAATGCTTTATAATTATGATAAATTACATTTTGAAATCTGTATATAATCAATGATATAGCCATTTTAAATGAGTGACAAATTTCAGAAATTAAAAATGACTCATCAGTTATTTTTCTATAAAAATAAAATAATGAATATGAAATAAATTATTTATGCTAACCTGTACCATGGTATTATATAATTATTTAACACACATTCCCAAAACTAATGCATAAATAAGATATAATTAGTAATCATATAATTTGCAAAATATAGATGGTTATCAAACAAGGTAAAATGCAGAATATTTTTAAACAAAGATTTGTCAAATTTTATAATAGACAATTAATTAAATAAGATACATACTGAATTAACTTCTTTACCTTTTCAATTGTTGCATCTATGTCTTTTGTAACATTAATATCAATATAAGGGTGATAATATATGCAATAATTTTTATCTGACAAATCATTTGCTTTTTTAAATTGTTGAACAGTTTCATTCTAAAATTGTATAAAATTGGCTATAATATATAAATCATACTTTATAAAAATAGTCATTGAATAATTTCATGATATATTCTTGATACCTGGTATGGTAACAAAAATAAAAATAGGAATATTTGTATTTTATACTTTAATATTGTGTGTATTAGAAGCATTCCAAATAATAATGACCATGTTGATAATATATAATGATATACACTTTTTTTTTTTAAAAAACATAAATTTTTGTAAAATTATATTTACTAATGAAGAATATGATATTGAATAAGAATAATACAAAAAAGAAAACCTAGTATTAAGATAAAAAAAATATATTTTTCAATCTTCCCAATAAAAGTATTGAGAGAAAATATTTTAAAATTCATAATTTGCGAAGAGCAAAATGAATTAGAAAAATCATATGTTGATAAATGACAGATTACTTATATCATCGTGTTATTTTCAAAAGTCCTATTTAAATTAAAAGCTGTTTTTAAAAATTACAATTAATCTAAGGAATTTTACCCAATATAAATCGATTCAAATTTTATTTTTTATTATTTGATAAAAAATAATTAACTATATTTAAATACTGCGGCATTAATGAAAGTTTTTAAACTATATTAGTTTTAATTATTTATCTTATACAAAAGCAAAAATTTGATTAGAATTTATTTATTTGAAGATATTAGCTAAAATAATTTACTGCAAGTCTAAAAAATTTGCTCATGGATTGTATTAAGGTTTGGACCTATTTTTGCTAAATCTTGGCTTTTTAAATTTTTATAAACCCTACTCTAATATTGTCTTCTCTAATGTTTTGTAACACGCTAGTTTTACCTATTTTCATCTAACTATATATTAAAAATTCGGGAAATTCTATTATGAGCCATTTAAACATATGTGGGCTAATTGCAAGTACTTTATACTAACAGTCCGAAGAACCTAGCTAAATGTCTGTAGCCTAATTTGAAAGAAATTTGGGAAGCCACATCCCACACCCATGAACTGCAGATATATTTATACTGGATGGTGGGGGGGGGGGGGAGGTAAATTAAATAAAACAGCTGATGCTGATTAGATTTATTTGAAAATTCATCTTTCCTATATGCTAAAAGTCGTAAAACATGTGGGTAATCTTTTGAGTATCAAGATTACGAATCGAATATATCTATATGATAAACTTTCTTATAAATCTCAAAAAGTTGCTCCAGATAACAAATCTATTAATTTTTTTTATTATACATTATCAATTGCTATAGGATTCTTAGGATTAAGTTATGCTGCTGTTCCCTTATACAAAAGATTCTGTCAAGTAAAATATGTGGTAAGTTTCGCTTGATTGCCTTATAAAATAGATAACAGGATTAGGAGGAAATGCTGCTTTATTGGATCTTAAAACTAATTTGGTGGATTCTATGAAAAAAATTAAAAATAGACCTATTCGTGTATGTTTCAATGCTGATACAAATTCATTAAATGATTGGAACTTTGAACCACTTCAAAAAAGCTTGGATGTTATTATTTGTTTTTTAAATTAATACTAATATGCATTATAGGTTATACCAGGAGAAACTGCATTAGCATTTTATTCTGCTGAAAATACTCATGAAACCCCTATTGTTGGAATTGCAACTTACACCATATTACCATATAGTGCTGCCCAATATTTTCACAAAATTCAATGTTTTTGTTTTGAAGAACAATTATTAAATCCACATGAAAAAGTGTGTTAGCTTTTAAAGTGAAAAAAATAAGTTATTTCTGAAAAATTATTAATAGTTTAATCTATTGATCTTTCTCTCCATTGTCCCTTTTATCAATATTCAAAGGTTACATTTTTCTCATTCAATTTTTTAAATTTTGCCACACTTTAAATTGCTTAAATTAATGAAAATTCTTTGCTTTTCTAACCACATTGAGTGACATAACAGTATTTTGCTCTTACTATAAATAAGGCCTAGTCTTATAAGTTTAAATTAAATTTACCAAATCAAATATTATATTACATATGAAATTTTATAATCATTTTCCTTTATTTTATGATATTGATAAATATCTTTAATATTTTAGTCCATAAATTTATGAAAACATAAATCTATTTAAGTTTTTTAATAAATGAATTGGCTAATAATATGTTAAATTACAGTGGCAAATCCAGGGACAAGATTATAACCACTCCCATTGGGAAAAGTGTGTTTTTTTACTTTTCAACTTTGAGTAAATATTAAGACAAGATTTTTGTAATTTGTTTAAAAAAATAAAAACTATTTTCTCAATTTTTTTTCAATAAATACATTTTATGTATGTTTGCTTCCTTCCCACAGTTTTTTTTACCCAATTAAATAATTACTATCCATTAACACAGTAAATTTTTACGGCATACTATATTTAATTTGTCTTTTAATACATTTCTACAGCTATTCAGACAATTTTTTACTCACCATTTTTATAAAAAAAAATTTACTACCCAACATTTTATATACATTTGTCAACTCATTAAAAAAAAAATTTTAAAAAACTTTTCACTTTCTGTATTAAAATTTTTTCCACAATTATTCAATCCATTACATCTTTTCTTTTTAAATTTCCCAAAAATTTTAGAATAAATAAACGACACATTTTTCCAACTCAAAACCAATGCATTTTAACATTCTCTATCACCTTGGATTTATAATTTTAACCCATCTAATGTTTGGCACACTCAAACCCTTTTTTGTTAACTGCACTGCCATTCACCTTAAACCAGGATGAATGAAGTTATGCACTCCGAATTACCTCAACCCCAAGGGTCAGCTTTTTACCCCTGGAAAGCGAAACGCGATTAGACCTGTACAACTGAATTAGCCCATATGTCAGATACCAATCGTTACAGTAGTTGGGGATCCTACAAAGTCGACAGTTCTACAGACTGCATAAAAAACGAGAACTTGTTGATATACGACGGTTTGAAAGGTTGACATCACAGATGTAGAGATGGAGGATTTATTAAGGGGCAACTGATTCATCTCTGATTATTGAGTTTTAATTGGAATTGACATGATAATACTTATTTGCGATTAGTCATTCCTTGGAAACAACAAGTGATATTGAATTCGATAATATCTCTCTCGTCACGAACCAGAAATTCTTGGGAAAAAAATGATTGATATTCTGAAATAATTTCCTTATGAATTTATTTTCTTCTCTTCCAAATAATCTCTGATGATATAGTGGCTAGTGCATAGCGAGTTTTTTTTTTAAAAAAAAGTCAAAGCAATTCGATTCTTTGTAACAGCCATTGTCTTTTAAACACACTGCCCAATAGTGCCTGTCAATCTTTTCAGTCTCAAACTACAAAAAAGGGGATAAAAAAATGACGATATTTCATATTTTTTAAAAAATTTTTTTATATGTTTTGTTTTTAAATTAAATAATAAAGTTATTTCGCGAATAATAATAATAATATTACAATAATCATTAATCGCCAATTAATGTAATATTAAAGGGAGTAATTAAATAAAAAGAATATTGAAAGAGAGAGAGAGAAAAAAAAATTATCTATTCAACTAATCGCAAAATAAATATAAAAGAATTTAGCATTTCTATACGTTGCCCGTCGTCCCAATTAAAACAGAATATTCGATTGAAGAATCAGTCGCCCCTCAATTAATCTTCCCATCTCCTCATCAAAAAATGTATCCTTTTCCCACCACCATATATATTTAATCAGGTACGTCTTCTAAACTGACATCTGGGGCTGTCGACCTCGACTCTATAGCATCACCTCCTACCGTAACGAGAGGTGTCTGATATACCGGCTAATTTGATCTTACAAGTTCTGACCGCGTTCTCCAGTCTTCTAGCGAGCGTTCTAGCCTCCCGTTGTTTCTTTGACCTACGGGGACATCGGTCCTATAAGTGATCCCGTGATTGATACAATTAGCAGGTTCTCACAGGTTTCAACCCTCTCCTACTGGGGTTAAATGGCTGTGCCTTGGGTTGAGGTAATTCGAGAAACATATCTTCATTCCTAGTTTAATATACACTAAATCGGATTATATTTAACATATACATCACATTTTATTTGACAGTTTTATAGTATCTCCCGAAAACCTATCCTTCATAAATATCTCATTTAATATTTATTTCTTTAAACTAAGGACACAATCCCGAGTTATATTTCTTTGCATTTTCCGTAAAATTTGCATCTTTCCAAAATTGGCAACCAACCAAATTTTATTTCTCTCCTCCTTGTGGTTATAATAACTCAAAAATATATCCTTTCTTCTCCCTCTTCACTCTTTATGCCTTTCTCTAAATTATTTAATTCTACCCCATTATGATATTACACCACTTTCTGTTGTATGACTTAAATTCTACATCAAACTCTTATTTCCCCCTTTGTTTTTGTTTTGTTTTGAATTTTCCACTTTTGATAACCTACTGATTCGCGGTGACATTATGCTTCGGATAATTTTTTCACCACCTTTTTCTAGTTTTTATTTTACAATACACATTTTTTTTAAAAATATCCATATAAGTACTTCCCTATTATATTCACACAACACTCATTTTTTTTATCATCTCCTTCATACTTTAGCCTTTTATTTTTGTTTTGGTATGGGATCTCACTGGCCGATCTTAATCTCCCTGGTTCCATCCTTTTTCGTAACTGATCTCGATTCCTAACTTCCTCTCCCTCATCCGCTTCACCCAACTCAATTTGAGTCCCACATTTTTCATCATTCTATTCTCACTTTCTAGTTCTTCCAAATATCCTATACCACGTTGTTTGTCTCCCACCTCAAACTCAGATGTTTTTCTTCCTCCACCTCTGTCCCCTTATTTGGCGCGTCTTAATAAATTTAACAAAAATGGAGTTCGACCCAATAAACTTCCCTCTGAGAACTATCCCTCACCCATTTCTGCCATTATTATAATAAGTGATAGCCACCCAAATTTCTCTTATCCCATACTTCGATTTCCGCAACCAATTCTTGACAATCGCCACCATTCTCTCTGCCTGCCCATTTGAACTGGGGTGTTACAATGGCGTCAAAATGTGGTGCCCCTATACAGAATTTTTTAAAACTCTCGCTAATAATGGCTGGACCTCCATCCGAAATTATTACCTTTCCTCGTATTTCAACATTTCAATCGCCTTTTCCTGCTGATCTTTTCAACACTACCCTTTCTTTAATAATTTATGTGGCGGCAGTAATAATTATTCACCATTACTAATCCTAAAATGACCTGCACATCAACTTTATTCTTTGGTCTCAACATACTGGTTTATCCCACCACATTATCACCTATGCCGCTTTTAATACACTCTTTTCCACATTCGCCCACACCTTTTCTCTGATTACTGTTCATTTTGTTCGGGATTCACCCCAGGCACCAACACATCGCCCATATAATAAAATACTCCTTTTAGTCCCCAAAAAACGGATTTCATTATCAGCGTTGAAAAATTCTTGGCGACACGCTAAGTTTAAATTGTAATCTACAAAATATACCGACGCAAACTGCTCAAATTTCGCCACCACCCTCTTAAACTAGTTAATATCGCTCTACGTTTATTTTTATTTAAACTCACTTCTTAGTAGCACTGGCAATTAACACTATGACTTTTTTTTTAGTTTAGGCATATATAATATAATATATTTGTCGTGATTGATGGAGTCAATCACGAGGAAGAAGACGAAAGCCAAAAATAAAAAATATATATTTGTTTTCTTGGTTTCGTCGACTCATTATGATTATATTTTTTTTTTCGTTTTTAGTAAAAATGTTATGGCCTTATTTGGCAATGTTTATTTTTTTGTTGTAAAAATTGAATTTATTTATAAAAAGATTTTTTTTAGGGCTTCCCTATAAAAAGGGAAGCCAAAAATCGGATTATTAAATAATTATTTTTTTAGTTTATAATTTTCATTTTTAGATTTTATTTTAAAAAATTATTTTTTAGAAATTATATTATAAAACTGAATAAAGTTTGAATAAAAATTGTTGTTTACTATTTCTGAAGAGGTATAAAAGGATTTTCTAAGTTATTCGAAATAAAAGCGGCACAACGCTAGTTGGTGCCGTGACCAGGATAACTATTAGCGTTGTGCCGCTTTTATTTCGAATAATTTAGAAAATCCTTTTATACCTCTTCAGAAATAGTAAACAACAATTTTTATTCAAACTTTATTCAGTTTTATAATATAATTTCTAAAATATAATTTTTTAAAATAAAATCGAAAAATGAAAATTATAAACTAAAAAAATAATTATTTAATGATTTCAATCCGATTTTTGGCTTCCCTTTTTTATGGGGAAGCCCTAAAAAAATCTTTTTATAAATAGATTCAATTTTTACAACAAAAAAATAAACATTGCCAAATAAGGCCATAACATTTTTACTATTATCGAAAAAAAAAATTTAATCATAATGAGTCGATGAAACCAAGAAAACAAATATATTTTTTTTATTTTTGGCTTTCGTCTTCTTCCTCGTGATTGACTCCATCAATCACGACACCTCCCCCCTTTATTTAACTTTGACGGATCCAACAACTGCTTGTACTCCTCCTTACCCACTCGCACTACCAACGTGTCTTGCGCCCCCTGGTTGATATCTTTCCAGCGTCTCTCGCCCCGATGGTACTGTACGACTACTTGAAGCGACTGGCGGCGGCTCCAATTCCTCTCTGTACGGTCTTATCATTACCTCAGATCGCTCTCTCGGACACCACCGGCAGATGTATCCCGCCTCTCCGCAGCCATAACATATAATTTATTCTCTTTCCTCGCTCACGGATTCCCTGGAACGTTCCATCGGTCTTCTTATCCCTTCGATTGCTCCCTGGTTTTCTTGCGCCAGAGCCCTCCACTCGCTGGCGAGCGGTTCCACGTCAGCGCTGATAATTGTGTTGCGCATCAAATGTGTCCCCAGGTCTACGTATCTCAAAAAAAATAACATTTATCTCCTTCCCTTTTTTTTTTTTCGGCTTTCGTCTTCTTCCTCGTGATTGACTCCATCAATCACGACAAGACCGATGGAACGTTCCAGGGAATCCGTGCGCGAGGAAAGAGATAGAATTATATGTTATGGCTGCGGAGAGGCGGGACACATCCGCCGGTGGTGTCCGAGAGAGCGATCTGAAGTGATGGTAAGACCGTACAGAGAGGAATTGGAGCCGCCGCCAGTCGCTTCAAGTAGTCGTGCAGTACCATCGGGGCGAAAGACGCGGGAAAGATATCAACCAGTGGCGCAAGACACGTTGGTAGTGCGAGTGGGTAAGGAGGAGTACAAGCAGTTGTTGGATCCGTCAAAGTTAAATAAAGGAGGGAGGTGTCGTGATTGATGGAGTCAATCACGAGGAAGAAGACGAAAGCCAAAAATAAAAAAAATAAATTTGTTTTCTTGGTTTCGTCGACTCATTATGATTATATTTTTTTTTTCGTTAATAGTAAAAATGTTATGGCCTTATTTGGCAATGTTTATTTTTTTGTTGTAAAAATTGAATCTATTTATAAAAAGATTTTTTTTAGGGCTTCCCTATAAAAAAGGGAACAAAAATCGGATTGAAATCATTAAATAATTATTTTTTTAGTTTATAATTTAGATTTTATTTTAAAAAATTATATTTTAGAAATTATATTATAAAACTGAATAAAGTTTGAATAAAAATTGTTGTTTACTATTTCTGAAGAGGTATAAAAGGATTTTCTAAGTTATTCGAAATAAAAGCGGCACAACGCTAATAATATTATTTATTTTGATGATCTTGTTGTCCTATATTTTGTAATGTTTTTTTTAACATGGAGAATGATTTTAAAATTATTGTTAAGGATAATAGTGGATACATTTTTGCAGAGTTGTTAAAAGATACTTTTTAAATGGATCTAGATATAGATACATCGTCTAAAATAATATCTAGATACAGATATTTTAATCAAAAATCTATCTAGATACAGATACCACATTTTTATATTTAGATACAGGATATAGATACTTGTATCTAGATCCTTTAACAACTATACATTTTTGAATAACTTTAAATTAGACAAACATTCTCAAGTTTTTGAAAGTTTATGGGATAAAAAATAAATAAACCAGTTTCTCAAATCGCAATCGCTTCCATATTTTTTTTTAGCACTCCCGAGCAAACGACGTAGTATCGTTTTTATAGTCGTAAAATATTTATAGATCTCTATTCAGTGTTAATCGTATTTCTTAGAGCAATTTCTCGCGATCATTTAAACTTCTCTTTTTTTTTCGAAGTCCTGGAATAATAATTAATCACGTGATATTATTCTAATCCTATATAATTCATATAGTATATACTATATTTAATACTTCCTCTCCTTTCGATGTATACAGGTCGATCTTCCCGTATTTTTCTACGTGCACCCAGACTACGTGCTCGATCCCACTCTGGAAAATGTCGATAACATCGTTTTATCCTATACTTTCTTTCAATCTAAAGACGATATCGACGATATACTTCAACAAAATTGAACCATTTTTATTTTAAAGAAAATATAAATAAATTATATATGAAACAAGAATGTAAAAAAATCGCTAATAAATGTATATTTTCTATTTTGATCGTCAGATTCAAAAGCAATGGCTCCGTCAGCTAGTTACACGCCATTTTGTGTTTCATGTAAATAATTTATGCTAAAATTTTATTGGAACTTTTTTTATAAATAATTGATTTTCATTTATGTATATAAATTCTTATATGGGTAACACAAATAACGTGTCACCCTCTTATTTATCCTCAACGAACGACGCTTTAGTGGCATTTTAGCGAATTAATCGTCAATAGGGACGAGTATTATAAATATGTCATTGCTGTACACACATTACGTCGCTTGAGTTTTGGACAGGCTTGTCAGAAATTTAAAATTATTTAGTTGTGTAATTTGAGACCACAGACCAAACAGAGACCGATTTATCGGCAACCCATCGAACCTGGAGTAATATGGGACTCAGAGGAGTTATGACCTCCTTTACCTGTTATTAACATTTTCTGCTAAATCGATTTTAACATTCCTGAATCCAAATTCGGGTTAACCCTGGTTTTAAAATATAAGATGTCTGACATTTTTATACGTTCATAGAAACATTGCATTCCTTGCTTAAAAAATTCTTAAATAAAATTTATATAATTCTTTATGCTACGTTAAAAAAAAATTTTTTTTAATAGTGTGAATAATAAATGTTTAAAATAATATGTTTTTGTGGACCCGGTTAATAGAAGCATAAATACCCAGTCTATAGAGCGCCTTTGGCGTGACCTCATATCAAAATATTTTTTATCTGGGAGGCCCCAGTTTATGGAAGATATATTTATTTAAAGAATAGAAAATATAAATCTATTGAATATCTTTATAAATGTTTTAGAAGATATTATTCAAGTATTTCCCTATTATAAATATATAGCAATATAAGTTTTGATATACATTTTTATATTTTAAATTTTAATATGTAATTATAAATTTATAAGTAATGATATAATGGACCATTGAAAAAAAAGCGTGAGTTAAAATTTTAAATTCATAAAGCGGAAAAGGTAATTAAATTACAAATCTGCACGGCATCTTTATAATCCATAAAGATTTTTTTATCCAATTTGCCCTTCCCTTTATATAAATCATATCCTGTCCATCTCATTTTTATTATATATGGCTCACTCACAAACCGTAATCTTACCAATATAAAATTACTTATTATTTTATTAGATAAAAGAGAAAGAAAACTTTTTAATAAAAAATTTCTTCTATTTTTTAAATATAATAATTAATTTAAAATATATAATAATTGCAATTATTTTGCTGAAAATTATTGAAAATATCATATGGACTCATGAAATTTTGATGCGCAGAAATTGATTAATGAAAGAGGAAGACCAAGTTCACAAAATTTTAGAAAGAAATCAATACTTGCAATTGGTACTTTTCTTAAATATAAGTGGTTTACTGGATGTGACTTTTTTAATTCTCTATTCCTAAGGAAATATACATTTGGAATGATAAAGGATTTTCGGATATGAATAATTTTTTGAAGGCAGTGAAACGTCACTAAATTATCCGCTCATTTGCAGTAGATGATTCAATTAAAAGCACTTGGCGGAATAGTTGAGAGTATGATAGATACGTTGCAAAGAATTTGAATCGAAATTTTACTCAAAAATAAAAAAGAATTGTTTATCTATAAATTTTAATTATTTTTGTATGGTTTGATTAATAAAAATGCAAAATGTTCTTCAATTACTTCTCTTCTAGTAGTAAACTTTACACTTCGTCGCTGCAATATAGAATGATAAAATCAACTTTACATTGCGAAAAAGAAATATTTGATTGTTTCAACATTTATATTTTCTTTCAGTGGTGGAGCCCTATTCTTTACTTATATCTTGCGGCTGCGACTGGGTGTTGTTCATAGCCCCATCTTGCTGGTATAAAAATATCGGTCCGGTCAAGCCACAGGTAGTTTCAATATGACAGAGGAGTGGCAGCCGTTTGCTTGTATCGTTCGGGGGGTAGGCATGGGAAGAGAGAGGAAATATATTTTGTTTGGAAAGTGGTGATTCTAGGCATGTTGTATTCAATTATTTTTTGTCGTGAAGATGATGCTAAAGGTAAATTTTATAAGGGGGAAAAACTATGAGCATCCTTTAAAAAGGGAACAAAAGTAACACATATTTATATTTAAATGGGAGATCTGCTGACCCATCTAGAACTCCAACCACAATGCCCCCAGCCTAGGGTACTAGAGTTGAATTTTAAAATAATTATTTAAAATCCTAAGTCGATAAGATTTTTTTTTTAAAACAAATAATGGATATTTTAAACTTCCTTATAAAACTATTGATATAGTACAATCTAAATAACCAAATTTTAAAAATCCCTGTCCATCTGGGCCTCTTTTTATTAACAAGGCCTGGTTAGAAAATAAAAATATTTACAAATTCTGGCCAAATCGGGCTGGTAAATGGGTACTTTTACAGATTTTTATATGGTTTATTTGATAAATGAATGCATATTATATACTTAAAGTAAAAGTTTTCCATTAAAATATTATCTAACATATTATGCACTATCATTATATCTTATATTAATATAAATAAAGAGAGAGAGATTGAAAAGATTAAAATAAAGCCTATGGTTCACGGTGAAAATAATTATTTTGAACTCACTTTTTTATGTTATCAAAAAAAGAAGGTTAAATACGTTTAAAACAAATGGTGTATCATATTTTATTATAGATTAAAATATTTAGTATTAGAAGTATGGGCATTCATATTATATTTGAATGATTAATATTTCTTAAATGTTTCTAATTTTAAACTCAATTATCTCAGAAGAAATGGTGTATATATTTGGGGGGGTGGGGGGGGGGATATATCACCATATAGTATTGGACTGAAATTCCCATAATTTTGGGTCTAATAAATTTTGCAGAACATTGTTTTTAAAAATTGGTGTCTAAAAGGCTTGCTATCCAAAAATAAGCTTCCCTAGAGTGAGTGAATGTTCTAAAGGTGCGCTAGATTCAAGTGAGACATTATATTTAATAAACAGTAATTTTAAATTTGTCAAACCATATAAAGATAATGAAGGAATGTAATATATATATATATATCATATTTTTAAAAGTATCTAATTACTTTTGTAGTTGCATTCCACAATATATAGTAAATACAAATTTTTTTGTAACCAGTTACTTTAACAACACTACTAACAATCAACCGTCAATTCTATAGGCTTTTATTGAAACCGAAATTTTGAAGTAAGATGGTTTTGGACACAATTATGATTTAAATCTATCAATTATTTTTGCCATTTCTACATTTAATTTTGTTCCTGTGAGTGTGTTGCATAATGTTATATTGTTTATTGAACATATCCAACTAAATGAAAATGTAGATTAATGTATTTTATATTTAATTTTAAATCACAAAAAAGAAACTAAGTAAGTTTACATATTTTTATCATTGGTTATTTTTCATTTTCAAATTGACATTCAAGACAGATACCAAATTTTGAAATCTTACCATTAGCGAATATCTAAATTCCAAGTATGGATCCTTACTTCATTATTTTTTAATTTTGACAATATTAAAGGTTTGTCAACAAGTATGTTACGCTTTTATTTACGCGTAACGGATCTCTAGAGTTACCATATTGTCCACTTCCCACACAATATTCTCGCAAATTATCACTGACATCAAATCGTAAAATCAAACCTAAATAATTGAAAGAATCATAAATCACCGATCTAAAATAGTCATGCCTGTAGTTATATTTATACATTAAAGTAGTACCAAATAGTATGATAAAACTGAATGGGGTTTAAGGTAGCCCTAAAAAATACCATCTAATTAAGTATGTATGAAGGATCATATGCGTTCTCTAGTTTTTTAATCTACTGTTTTTCGTCAGTATCTTTCCTCGGGGATTAAACAGACTATTCAAAACGGAACAATACTTTGAGGGCAAAGGTGTCGATACTTACTTCAATATTTATTTTCTTCCAATTTGAACCCTAATAACTTAACACTACTGTATGGCTCTTTAATATATAGAAAGAAACTCCCATCACTCACGTAAATGCTACTCCATGTAAAAAGATATATCATTTATTTATCTTCCCTAAACTCATAATAGTTATCATTCACAGCCATTCCCATTCATTTATTACTAGAACTAGTTTAATAGCCCATATCATATTTTTTTCGCACTTCAAATCCTGAGATTATATTTTCTTATCCTCTCAGCTTTACGTAAAATTTTATTCTAACTAATAAATCATCATCTATCTTCTTCATTCTCAATCGAAGTAATCGTTCCAAAATATTTCGTCTTCTTTTCTTTATAGCATTAGCAATGATATCCAATTTGCATAATCACACTTTTATAATTTATTATAAAATTCAATTTTTTCTAAGGCTATAAACAAATCATTTTTTTTCAAGCTTCTCTTTTAGCTATAGAAACTGTTGGTAGAGGAAATTAATCTATGGGCAATTTTTACAGTGACGGCTATTTTTTTTTTAAAAAAAATTTTTTAAAAAAAATCATAAATTATTATATATTGCGCTTTTAAGTTGTTAAATTTTTTACTTTAAAAAATTTTGGTTTTGGTTCTGATGTATAAAGTTCTGATTTATGATATCTATCATTGTTAGGTTTACAATTCTCAAAACCTAAATGTTTAATTTCCTTAGACCTAGTCATTATCTTTGTTTTTTTTCCTATGAATGTCTTTTGTCTTTATTTTTGTTAAAATTATTATGATATTATATCATAAAAAGTTTTTCATCAATTCAATTCTCCTATAAAACAAAATTAATATTATTGGGTTATAAAAAAAAATAATGTCAAAGTGTTATAAATATTTTTTTTTTATATTTCGATGTGCTATATAACTTATTTTAATTTTTCTTAAATAATAATAAAAAAAATTATAACATAACATTTATGTAGGATAATGGTTTATCATTGTGATATTTAAAGGAAATTCGTTAAAAGAAATGATACAAATTTATTGAACATTATTTACTAGGTG